TTTGGCCCGGACACCTGATAAGCATGGTTTATTACATGCTTAAAGTACCTATTTCTTATGTTTAATAGGTAGATTTTCATAGTTTATCCCAACCTTGAGTCATTTTTACTTTCTTATTTTTCATTTGTTATGTTTGGAGCTAATTGTGATGATGAATTTGTTTTACAATATTTTCGAGTAGATAACATCTTTTGACTCATTACACTGCATTGTAATGCTGCAGCATTCCAACAACATTGCCCGGCTGCATTTTGGCTTTTTGAAGGAGGTGCTTATTGATTAAGCCGTTGTCTTGGATGAAGGTCTGAGCTGAAGAAGCCCTCGTTTTGGACCATTAGCAGCTGGTGAAAGGATGTGGAGAAGACSTTTTGGTTGACTTGTTTTGATGGAGATGATATCTCCTTTTTGTAGTCTTCTCACTTTGTACTTTGTACTTCTCTTTAATTTTTGTCTTTTCTTCAAATGGTGGGTATAAAAGAAGGCCTTTGGCCTCTCTTTTCCATAGAACAACCACCTTGGACGATTTTTTTGTCTAAGTTGTACTCCCAAAACACTCTCATCTTATTATTAATATTTACAAGCTTTTAAGTATTTATTTAATTATTGTTCTTCATATTTTGTCTTTTATTTATTGTCATTTACTTTCCGTATTTATTTTCCGTCTTTACTTTCCGTCATTTACTTTCAGTTATTTACATTCATATCTTTACTTTATGTCATTCATTTATGTCATTTACTTTCCGTAATGAGTAGCTAATTTCATTAGCTCGGGTGTAGGGTAAAGGGTGAAHKGTTAAACCGAATGAAAGTGGACATTGTTTCGCAATAACAATGTTCCACTATTTCATTCAAGTTTTATAAAACCAAGCACACTTCTTGACGAGTTGATCACTTTGAAAGTGTTAAAGTGCCATGGACTTAGAAATAAGCCATGATAAGCACGTCAGCTTGAATGATATGAGATGTAGACTTGAGAAAGTTGCCGACAATGAGACTTATCATTTATGTTTTTCAACTTGAGCTCCCGACGGGTTGGTCACTCTCTAAAAGTGTCAAAGTGTGATAGATTCAGAGATGAACTATCAAGAACACGCCAACTTGAATGATATGGGAATCGGCTCGAAAGAGTGATTTTTAACAAAGAGATTTGTTAACCCATATATCTTGAAGACACCATTTTGTCACTATCCCTGGTCTGAACATCACATAGAGATATGGGTACAAAGCTATAATATAGTGCAAAGGTAAAGTCCGAGAGGAATACCTTCAAAATAAATGGTGGGACTGGTTCTTCCACAGCCTTGTCTGCTGGATTTCGTGTTTACGTTTCACCCCAAATCTTACACCCGTGCTACCTTTATTATTYTGMTTTAYTATTCTGCTTTATTACTCTGCTTTATTATTCTGTTATATTACCTGTGTTAACTCGGAATCAAACTAAAGTCTTCGTTTTCGTCATCTGAAATCTTTTCTTTTATTGGACTCTTATTTAACTTTTGCTCCAATCCCTATGGACGATATTCCGGTACTTGTACCACTTTATTACTTTGAAAGACGACGTTGGGCCGTATTGTATACTTGCTTTGTGACCCAATTTCATTAAGTCTAAAGGTAAAGGATTAGACCGACCAACACCCTTACAAAAAAAATGAACAAGGGTAATTTTGTAAAATATCAAACGACTTTTTAGTCATTTTTTAATTTATGAAATATAACGAGATGTTACAAAAAGGAGTTGCATGATTTTAGGGATGATAATTATATCATCTATTTGAAGTTTCTCAAGTTCTTAGATGGACAAGTTTACTGAAAGAGAAAGATGAAAATTCAATTTGAACAAGTTCATAAGTGAAACTATGTTCATTAGTGAAACAGTGAATATGTTCATTATTGAAACTTGTTCATAAGTGATCTGTATCAGTGAATGAACCATGTTCATAAATGAACCAAGACACAAAAAATTAGTGTGCATGTGTTCACAGCTGATTATGAACACATTAACACTATAAAGCAATGTTCATGATACTGATCAGTGTCTTGTTCATAAGTGAACATTTATCATAAGTGTATCATGATCATAAGTGAAACTTGTTCATTGGTTTTACTGTTGAATTTGTTTAAGTTGAATCCTCATCTTTCTCCCTCTGTAAACTTGTTCATTGAGAAACTTGAAGTAGATGATATAATTATCATATCTAAAATCATGCAACTCTTTTTTGTACCAACGTAATGAAATTCATTGATTAAAAAATAATTAAAAACTGAAATTACATTTGTATTCTTAATAATTGACTCCAACATGTTAATTAACAAGGACTAACAATGGTTTCTTATTAGTGCACATGAGTTTGTGTAGTTAACACCATTTGTTTGGTTAACGAAAGATCCTCGATATATATATATATATATATATATATATATATATATATATGGGGTTGAGTTTTGATGAGAAGCGTGATCTCCACCTTGGATCAATCCTAATTGAATTTCAACACTAATGAGGTGCACTGAGATCCACTAGATCAATTCCATTCTAAAGCACAATTCAAAAGTAGGCATGAGATTAAAAGTGATCAAGGGTTCAGATCTCTTCTTACGTTTTTCATCATAACTTCCCTTCTCACACGATTCTTCGCCTATATATTATTGCGTTGTAGAAGAGAATTGATCTGGTGCATCTCGCCATCTCGATGCATCTCATTTGTGTTGACATTCAGTTAGGATTAATCCAAAGATGAAGATCTCTTTTTATGTTTCTCACTCTAACTTCTCTTCTTACCGGAATCAACCCTTTATAAAAAAATTATATATGTATATATATATACATACATATATATATATATATATATATATATACAATTATATATACATACAATTATATATTACCG